CTGGCGGTAGCCCTCCGCCCAGACTGAACTGGACCAAAGATGACAGCCCTTTGGTGGTGACCGAAAGACACTTTTTTTTGCAGCAGGCAATCAGCTGCTGATTATCGTGGACTCTGATGTCAGCGATGCTGGAAAATACACGTGTGAAATGTCCAATACCCTTGGCACTGAGAGGGGCAACGTGCGCCTKAGTGTGATCCCCACTCCCACCTGCGACTCTCCTCAGATGACCGCCCCGTCTTTGGATGAGGACGGCTGGGCCACCGTGGGCGTGGTGATCATAGCTGTGGTTTGCTGTGTGGTGGGCACGTCGCTGGTGTGGGTGGTCATCATATACCACACCCGGCGGAGGAACSAGGACTGCAGCATTACCAACACAGGTGCGTCAGCAGAAGTGTGGCGCGGGATGCCGTGGTCACGTGTTTGTGGTTCTGCAGTCATTTTTTTCTAGATTGTGTGTCTTATAGTCTCAGCCCATTTCAGAAGGGTGACTCATTCGTTTCAAGCTGCAGAAATATTGTTAATTAAAAATAACAGCCTGGAATAAAGCTAAAATTTAAAGATTAATACTTTTTATTAAAACCTCATTAGACTATCCTGGTGGCTGTGAGATAAAATCTAAATCAGAGTAAAATAGCCTCATAGGACGGTGGTGGAGAGCCACGAGTGACCCTAGACTTCCCAGGATTCCCCTTTACAGCATTTTTATAAAGGGGATTGTAAAGGGAATTCACTGGGATTGTAATTGTGAGTCAGGAAGGGGCCATCTTGACTAATTTGTGCAAACTGAGATATCAAATCAAGTATCATTCAAAGATTTAGTTACTATTCTATGAAAATTCTTGAGCCTTTTATCTTTTTATATATTTGTTTTGAAATTTGGAGTTGCGTCCAGTAGGTAATAAACTAGAACATCAGCTTATGTTTCCCAGAGCCCAAAAGCCCTCCTTTGCGTCTCCTGAATACCACACATCTGGATAGTTTTACCAGAGTTGATCTTCCCTTACTTCATTTGTGGAGTGACTAAAGCAGTAGTATCTCCTGTTCATCTGGAAAGCCTGGGGGACAATGACATTCATTTTTGGTTGACAGAATGCTGTTTTTTTTTTTTGTTTTTTTTTTTTTTTACAGATGAGACCAACTTGCCAGCAGATATCCCTAGTTATTTGTCATCTCAGGGAACGTTAGCCGACAGACAGGATGGGTACATCTCTTCAGAAAGTGGAAGCCACCACCAGTTCGTCACTTCGTCAGGAGGTGGGTTTTTCCTACCACAACATGACAGTTCTGGTGAGTGTGTAAAATAACCATGACTGTAGTTGTTTGAAATCATATGGTAGGAGGCTCATTTGTAATGTTAACTTTTATAAGAAATTGAAACACTGATATTTAGGACGTGGTCTAAGATCACTAGCAAAACTGAAATTATATGGTTTTATATTCTTCTCTTAAATACTAGAAAATAATTATTGTTTCTGGCAATATAAGGAGACAGGCAGGTTAAGCAAAATTTAATTCCTCCATGCAGTATAATATTTCTTTATATTTGGCCCTGAATGTTCTTTTTCTTAAATAGTTTCATACATAGTCTCCAAAGTCAAATGATTTAAATTCCTTCTGTTAGAGATATCTATTCTGACCCTTGTTTTAGGTGCTCCGTGTTTTTGAGGGTAGTGGTGGAGGCAGGATGGTACAGGAGCAGTCTTGGCACATACCCGTTCCGTATGTAGGTTGGGCAGTGACAGTCCTCACTGGCGAGGTGGTTGTGAAAATGGAAAACTACACAGTGCTTGGCACAGACCAAGGACTCAGCAAGTGGAATCATTGATGTTATTTCAAACATTTTACCATTTTTTTTAACCACAAGCATTTATTGAGTATTTGCTCTATGCCAGACTTCCTAGTCAGGAGGGAAGAGTATTTGTTTTCAATTTTTCAGTTTAGTCAGTGGTGAGACAAACAATTACATAAAGCATAACAGGGCGCTTGGCAAGTTGGTACTAGCGCTGTAGAGATAAAAGAATATCTGGGCATGAATATTCTGGCTAGACCCATTTGGTAGCAAAAAGCAGAGCCCCAAACTCATCAAATATAATGAGGTTAATTAAAGAGACATGTATGAAAACCTGAAGGACAGAATTGGAGCACAATGTCAAGCTGCCCAGATGCAGCCAGGAGATGGGTCTGTTCCAAGGGCGGTCTAGAAGCCCAACATTGCTGGGTCACTCTGCGTGTCTGCTTCTCTCTCAGACCCTCACCCACCTTCTAAGCCCTCACTTTCTGCCTCCCAGGCATGTGACCTATCATGACAACCTAAGCCTTGACATTGTTGTTTATCCTTGGACTTCTGTATCTTTTACTAACTGACATATCATTTTTTGTGCTGTTAGTTCAACTGCCTATAAGTGATTTTTTTTTTTTTTTTTTTTTTTTTTTGCCAGGCCTCATCTTTGAGCTGGGCGCTAAGAGGTCATGAATCAAATGCCAATCCCTGGTTCTGGTCATCTGTGATATTTTGTAGGATGTGGTTTAAACCTTTAGTGCTTTGGCTGCAGGATCCAAACACAGATCAGTTCCCCTTAGAAACCAGATGCCCTATTCAGTGCCAATTGGACCCTCTTTCAGTGAGCTGCCCCAAAATTACTTGAGTATGATCCATAGGCTTCAACAAATTGGGGAAAATGAGGGGGGATCTATACATTTATGCAGGTTTTCTTTTATATCATGTTCTCTCCAAATTTCTATCTTAAAGTATGTAAAATACTAAAATTGGAGAAAACCTTGAATGACACTGTGGAGTAAAATTGACTCAGTGACTTGGATTTGTGTTTTAAAGGGACCTGCCACATTGACAACAGCAGTGAAGCTGACGTGGAAGCTGCCACAGATCCGTTCCTCTGTCCCTTTTTGGGATCTTCAGGCCCTGTATATTTGAAGGGGAACGTGTATGGCCCAGATCCCTTTGAAGCCTATCATGCAGGTGTGTGGCATTCATCCTTATTTCTTCTGTTTCCTAGAAAGATTTCTAGAAGCACTAACTATATCTCCTTCTGATATGCGTGCCCAATTAAAAAGGTTGCAGTCCAGACCCAAGAACAGCTTTAATGGACCACTATGAGCCTGGTTACATAAAGAAAAAGGAGTGCTACCCGTGTTCGCATTCCTCAGAAGAACCCTGTGAGCGGAGCTTCAGTAACCTAGGGTGGCCTTCTCACATGAGGAAGGTCATTCACTCCGGCTACTCTCAGAATGAAGGGCCTGCGATGAAAAACGTGTGTCTGAACAAGTCCTCTTTAGATTTTAGTACAAATCCAGAGCCAGCGTCAGTGACTTCAAGTAATTCTTTCATGGGTAAGTTTATTAAATTATTAGATGCCTAGTTTCCAACCCAGGCTCCAAGTTGCATGTAGCAAGAGCTTGGATGTCAGCGTGTTTTTTTTTTTTTTTTCCTTAATGATGTTACCATGATATCCAAAGAGCTAGTATAAATGTTTCTAAATGTAGAGTCAGAGGTGGGGATGGTACTTGATTCTGTATTTAATCTATAACTAAGACTTGGGAGCTTTCTGGGTAACTCTGTGTGTGGCATCTAGAAGACAAGAGTTTAGGGAATGACTTAGGAGCTGAGCTTGTCAGCCATGTGGAAAAAGTGGTTTTGGGCTCTGGCAGCTTTTGGGGTGGAGCTGTGTGCTCTGCATGATTGCGGTTTGGTATGTCTGGTGGCTCCTAACTGAACCCACGGAAGAGGGGTGGAAAACAGCATCCTACCTAGCAACAGCTGCTTAGTCAGACAAGCTGAACTACCTTTGGCAAAGGAGGCCATCCAGCCTGAATGCCCAAGCTGGTGGTGGTAGACATTGGCTGGCACCAAGAGAAGCTTGTGGATTTTTTGGTCCAGTGCATGGGAACAATGGTACGAAAGAACTGAGATCCTCTTTTCACTGAAAGGAGCACTGTGGGAAAATGAGCCACAACTCGCCTTGGTGTTTTTTGTTTTTTTGTTGAAAAACGTAGAATTTTATTTTACACAGCTTTTAAGAAATTTATGTGTTTTGTCATGGTGTGATTGTTTATTCTCCCTCTTGGAAAAATGAAAATGAAGAAAGGGTAAGGCACAGGGTTATTTTAAAAGAAACTTTCTATATTCAGGCACAGTTAGCTTGTGCGTTACTATCCGTGTGACTTGTGTAGAGATTGCGGGCTCTTCAGTACTGAAGGGAGGATCTGGGGGAATGCGTGTTGGCATACTTCAGGCACTTTGTTGTGCAATAATTAATATTACTACAGGCCATGAGAAATGGTAAAGAGTAGATGCACTTGTTCAGTGGATATAAATAATAATTTTGATGTCATCTTCTGCATTATATGTTAATGTATTCTTATATCTGTCCATAACACAGATGTACAAACTCCTAAGTAGCAAAATGTGGAATGTATGCAGAGCTTATTCGTGTTGATGCAGCAAGATGCTTCTTCATTTGCTGTGTATCATGTTGATTTACATGCTAGTAAAGTACCTGCGAGCTCAAGGGATGTTTTTCTTTCAGGTACATTTGGAAAGCCTTTGAGGAGACCTCACCTAGATGCCTTTTCAAGCTTTGGACAGCCATCGGATTTTCAGCCCAGAACCTTTTGCTTGAAAGCTCCTTCTTCCCCTGACTTGGATTGTGAGTCAGAGGAAGAGAAAGAAAGGACAGATTTTCAGGAAGAAAATCACACTTGTACTTATAAACAGACCTTAGAAAACTACAGGACTCCAAATTTTCAGTCTTGTGACTTGGACACATAGACTGAATGGGACCAAAGAAAAGCTTTAACATACTACCTCAAGTGGACTTTTATTTAAAAGAGAAAGAATCCTATGTTTTTAAATGGAGTTATGAATTTTAAAAGGACAGAATGCCTTATTTATACAGATGAACCAAAATTACAAAAAGTTATAAAAATTTTATACTGGGAGTAACTTTCATATAAAAATACCTTTTAAAGTATTTTATAACTTTGTTTTATGCAAAAAAACCTTATGTAAATTAATGGTATAAATCCACAACTATTTTATGTATTTTTATAATGCCAGAATTCTTTTTATTGAAAATGAGTACTAAAGCCTTTTAAATAATTCCTGTCTTGTACCTTTTTTAAATAGAGGTCACTTCATTTTATTTTGCACATTACATTTAATAAAACATGTCATTTTGATGCCACGCCCCATTTATACCATAGTAATTTTTCTGGTTTTCAACACACTTAAAACTTAATTAGTCCATATTATTGCATCACAAATTGATGAAAATTATATCCAGCCCATTAAAGACAAGACAAAAATGACCATTCTGCCTGCTTCTCAGGATTGTTGTAATACAGGTTCAAATCACATCGGTACCCCTGAAAGCACACTGTAAACAACACAGACCTACAAAGCTTTGAGAAAAATCCATTTATTTTTAGCTCTACAAACAAATAAAGAACTGCTGTTGTCGTCTGGTGTAAAACAGAACAACCACCATTACTTAAATCACTGTTCAACCCATGTCTCCTTAATTACAATAATGCCTTCTGTGTTCTGATGCCTTCTGCTATCCAAATAGTTCATATCCACCATCCTTGGATTGTAACAAGAGTAGTTTATGGCACCTCTCAGTCGCTTGAAGGGCTATAATAGAGATGAAATTCCATCCTCTATTCTAGGTCATAATAGGATACTGATAGAATTCTTTCCTGTTCTTATTAATTTTTCTGCTATATGAGCAGTTTGTATATAAATGGCACTTCCAAGCTACTCTGCAACATTCTTTAAGAATTAAAAATATTTTCCTAATTTGGTCATTGCTACTCCATTGGTTAAAAGCTAGGCGTCAAATTTGTTACTTAAACACACAGAAATTTGTTTTACAGTATGACAGACCTATCTATACACACAGAAAAATGAGCATAGTCATATTTTCAAAACTAGGTGACCTAGTTTAAAGTAATTAAATGAGATAAACTTATTAAGTTCAATAATTTGGGTGACAAAACTGGACTTTTTTCTTTAAGTAAATCCTTGTTCATATGTGTAGTTTGAAGAAAGCCCTCTTTCCCAGGATAAATTAAATTGGCATGAAAGAACTTAATATAGCATATTAAGCTTTAAAATCTCCTAAACTTGAAGGGGTGAATCTATGCCATTTGCAGTTCTTTGAACTAAACTGAAAGCAGCTATTGGAAAAGCAGATTTTTCTCTGAGGATACATTGGAGGTAAAGGTTTCCTGCTCAGTGAGTTTAGGCCTTAGTTGTTTGTGAGCCAGAAGTCTGAACCCAAATGCCGTAAGATTTTCCTCCTTTAATTTAGAAGCCAGAGTCCAAGACAGGAAGTTGATCCTTTCTTGGACCACCAGTGACTAAGAACAGAGAAATAATTTTGTATGCTTGGCTTTATCATACTGCCAGATTTTCAAAATCTTATTGTTAATTTGTTTTCATTATTGCCAGATGTGAGGCAAACATCGATTGGGGTTTTACAATGATTATGAGCTGCTTTTAAAGGATTTCRTTTTTCCAGACATAAGCACAAAAGTTCAATCAATGCCTGAAATTCAAAAATTCATCAAAATGGTTTTACCCTTTTACTCTGCCTATGTATTGAAACTTAGAATTAAATATAATCTTAATTGGAAAGAAAAGGAGCTTGATTTTTCTTTGATGTTTATAGGAAAATAATATGTGAGTCTTTAATATGAGACTCCATGTTGAATTAACAAAATGAACTAGTAGGTATTAAGACATCCTAAAATAGTATGAACTTAAGAGAAACAACCAAATATAGATAAATGTTAGATCAGTAGTTTATGTATTTATTTTATTTTTGTGATGCTGGGAATCAAACCGAGGCTCTTGCACATACAAAGCAAGCACTCTGCCACTGAGCTATGTCCCCAACTTTGTAATCACTTGGTTTATTTGTTAGAAAAGATGCTTTAAATTTTCAGTTTAATTTTCCTATGTTTCTTAATAGAAGACCATTCAACATAGAGCATWTCTTAATAGATATTCACACCTTTTGTAATTTTTTTTCTGAATTCTATCATTGTCCCTAATAAGGTAGTTACGTATAATCCCACCCATTTAAAATACTAGAGAAGAAACATTACTTAATAGTGGCAACATTTTAGAAAAAAAAGTTAATATCTTTGGAACATGTAGAATTAATTTTCATAGCCATTCCMCAGAAGGAAGCCAAAATTATTTCTCAGAATAGAGCCAATCACTACTTTTAAAATATTTATATAAAACAGGAAAGTGATTTGGTATTTGTACATCCTTGAGGGGTTTTAGTCCTGATGATGATGTGATAGAAGTAATTCATAACCAATATTACAATAGATGGGCTACTTTAATATATTTCAAAGAGAATAAGAACCAAAGTCATTGCAAAATGCCTGCTCCGTCCTTCCCACTCTGGGAAACAGCAGCGATTGACCTTGTGTAAGAGGATAATTTAGAACTTGCTGTTTTTYAAGACAGCATTCTATTGACACATTGGATTATACAATGTCTTGCCAAAAAAAACTATTAGTCTTCAAAGAAGAGTACAATTTCTTTTGAATTGAATCATTTCAATACTCTAGAATATCTAGTTACCAAAACTTATCTTTTCCATGAGGCAGTATTTTTTTTTTTTATGTATAATAAGAGAGTATTCTACAGTCTGGAGAAATTCAGATTTGACCTAAAATGACACAGAGGCATTTTAGTTGGTATTTTATTTTAATGGTGTATAGAGGGTTTGTCCATGTATATCCATGGAACAATTTCAATATTTTAGGTATCCCTCTTTTTTGTTTAAAGAAATTGATTCTGGGTGAGATATCCTTTTTTTGAGGGGGGTGGGACTGGGGATTAATCTCAGGTTCACTAAATCACTGAGCCACATCCCCAGTCCTATTTTGTATTTTATTTAGAGACAGGGTCTCACTGAGTTGCTTAGCACCTTACTTTTGCTGAGGCTGGCTTTGAACTTGTGATCCTCCTGCCTCAGCCTCCGGAACTGCTGGGGTTACAGGCATGTGCCACCACACCTGGTTCTGGGTGAGATATCTTTTGATAAAATGTTTGATTTAACACAGTTTAGTGTGTGTGTGTGTGTGTGTGTGTGTGTGTGTGTGAGAGAGAGAGAGAGAGAGAGAGAGAGAGAGAGAGAGAGAGAGAGACTAGAGATTGATCCCATGGCCTTGCACAGGCTATCAAGTGCTGCACCACTGAGCTACATCCTTAGCCCTTATTTCATTTTTTCCCAGACTTTGTAATCCTCTGGCCTCAACCTCCCTAGTGGCTGAGATTATAGGCATGTGCCTGGCTAGTCTGTTCTTACTGCAAGATTTCTAGTTCATTATCCATACCAATTATATTTAGTATCTGAATTCCAAAGCCGGATTCCTTATCCTTCTATAGGTTAGATACCCATGAGCATACAAAAAATTTAACTAATGCTCTTGTGCAGCTTTTTGTTTTTTTAATAAATCACATTTTTTTTAAATTAAAGAATTTGTAAGAATACTTTTTAAAGAATAAAGTAATTCATAATTATTAAAATTTAAATTTTTGGATTTCTGTATTTTCTCCTTTTCATATATTTTTTCTTGGGTTTTATGGTTAAGTTTGACTTTAACAAGTATTTTTAAAATCAGTTTTGAATACAACACCTAATACCTTCACAAGATTGTTGTCATGGTTTTGGTGGAGGTCAGACTGAGGGCCTTAAGCATACTAGGCAAGTACCTTACTGCTGAGTAACATCTCCAGCCCCAATATCCCCAGTGGTTATTTTCAAACTTTTGCATGTGGCTTTTTTGACATATCTACAATTCAGGGTTAAAATTTGGTAACAATTATCAAACAGTTTCTTACAGGCTTGGTCATGTTTTTTGCCTGGGTGATGTAAAAATTAGTAAAATGATCCTTGTCCTAATTATCAGTGGCACAGGATGCAGCTTCATAATTAAATATCTGATAATGTCATAGCTTAGTAGACCACTGGAACTGGCACTGATTTCGTATTTAAAATGTTTGCTTCCTAACTGAGTTACCTAGAAGCCTTACTTCACCTCACCCAGCATGTCTGACACTAAGCTGATTATCTGTTTTCTCCACCTGCATCCCAAACAATTCCAGTTCTGGTACTTCCTTGTTTAATTATCAGTAATCACCATTCCTGTTGATGTTGCACCTGAATTTTCTCCAGGCTGTTGGTGGCTTCCTCTTATCCCATTGTGGCAGCTGAAGTTCACACCCTTATCTGCCTCTTACAGCSGAGTCATTAGGCCTCTTCTCACCCCTTGTCTTATTCCACTCATTGTCTTCACTGTTAACAGAGATATTTTTTTAAAGAGATCCCCAAACAGGTCACCTCCCTGTTTAAAATGTGCAGTGGCTAATTTCAAGTCCTAGTTAAGGCACAGAAGACCTTTCACACTCTGATCCCACCCAGCCCACTCTTCAAGCCCTGCTGCCCTCATCTACCCCCACACCACTCCCAATGTCTCAGCCATCCAGTCCTCCTTATCAGCCCTATGCACAATGTCCTTGCACAAGCTAAATATCTCATCTTTGGTTCAGTAAACATTTATTGAATGACTACTGTACTTGGGGCTGTCATATGCTATGGATGTGATAACTATTAAAATAAATATTCTTCCCTTAGGAAACTCCTAGATGACAAAATCATTGCCCCTGCATTTACTTTAACCCCAAGCACAGCAAACTACCCCCCCCGCCGCCCCCCTGCCCATAGGACACTATAGAAGTATCATGCGAAAATAAGGGAAGTGGTTGGTTACAAAGCCAGCTATGATGTCGTATGGCAAATAATAAAAACAGTTAATCTGTATGTCAATAGGAAATTTTCTAGAAGGAAGTAGAGAGCGCAATGGTTTGGAAGGAGTTTGTTCCCAAGATTTCATGTGTTGGAAGCTTGGTTCCCAGTGTGGTGATATTAAGTGGTAGTACCTATAAGAGATGGGGCCCAGGACAAGGTGATTGGGTCATTGGGGTCATCATCCTCAGGAAAGGGTAAGTAATCCTTGCAGGACACTGGTTAGTTCCTCCAGAGAGAGTTGTTATAGAAGAGCAAGCCTGGCCCCT